TCTTAGGATAAATTCGTCAGCAAGACAAAACGGACTACGGTATATTCTTCCTATAGTCACCAACCCACTTCTAGATTTAATCTTACAACATGTAACCTCACATGTGCCACTGATATGAGCCTCCGATATGGTTGATTGTATACGAAAGTGGTCCCTAACGTATAATATTATACCTCCCCCTTTGGGACTTGAAACTCTATCACTTTTAATACAGATATAGCCTGCAATGAACAGAGAACAGTCTATATCTACTATGAACTAAGTTTTTGTGACAACGATTATATCGGGACATAATTCTTCCACCATCAGACTTAGCTCGGACGTTTCATTTCGAAGACTACGGGCGTTCGTGTAGCACACGCTTAAGGTGTTTTGGCAATCAATCGTTCTACCCATACAGGCCTCGGAAGCATTGGCTTCCATGACCTGACTATCCGAAAACCCTTAATGGTAAGGTTATTTTCGCCATTTAATTTGCGAGTCCTCAACTCCGTAAGAGTATTCTTCCACTTGATTCGATCCGCAAGCGGCCAATCTGGTCGAATACGGATGCTTAAGTCAGGAGTTTTTGGTGCGTTTTTCAATAATATGTCTCTTTCTTCGAAACTCCCAAGAACCAGCTTTAGGATTCTTCTTGGTTCGCTTTGGATCTTGCTACTCTAAACCTGTGAATGTAACCAGTGGGGTTATACAAGGAAGTGTGGTTGGTCCATTACTCTTTCTCCTTTTTATCAATGATGCGTGTTCCCTCTTTCAGTATGGTGGGCCTTTCCTTTTTGCTGATGACCTGAAAGTAGTTTATTCATTCTCTTCTCCCACGAAAGAAAGCTATATTTCAGCGGTAATCCAAGAGGAAATAAACAAGTTGTACGAATGGACTATTTCGTGGAATATGCCACTTAATGTTGACAAAAGTGGATTTATCCACATTGGTCGCTGTCTTAACTTAAATCTGACTGTACAGACACATACACTCAAACCTCTCAACACTATTCGTGACCTGGGTTTAACATATAGTAATAGTCTGAACTTTTCTGAACACATTATATCTCAAGTATCCAAAGCTAGAAAGCTGATCGGATTGATAATGATAAACTTCAATAATATCGAATCGAGATTGTTACTATACAGAAAATGTATCTTACCCATTCTTGAATATGGTATTTTAGTTTACAGTAATTGTAGACATAATGACCTGATTAGAATTGAATGTGTTCAAAGAAAGTTCACCAAAGCTGTTCTGGGGTATTCCGATAACAAAGACTATTACCAAAGATGTCAACAACTCAACTTAGAACCTCTTTGGATCAGACGTATCAAATTAAATCTTGTCTTTATCTACCGGCTCATTAATGGTATTTCCTACTCATCAGTATCTACCCCTTCATACCTTATAATATCATCCCACAATCTACGCAATAAGGAGAACATTCCAGCGATTCCAAGAACCCACACAAACCTACGTCAGAATTTTTTCCTTATTCGCTACTCAACGATGTGGAACAGACTGCCAGTGAACCTCCGTTGCAGTAAAACTACAACCCGGTTCAAAAGTCTCCTTGATGATTTTCTTTCCGAAAGTGGATTATGTCACCTATTGAATATCAATGTATTCAATAATGATTTATACAAACAAGGTCCGTCATCCATTTAATTGCTTGAAAAGCAAAATAAGACCTTTAAATCTTTTCACATCTATCTTGTTTTATTTCTCTTTATCTTAATATATGAAGTCTGCTTATGTTCATGTTTATCATTATTACCGTTATTATTATCATTATTAGTTCCCCGACACATTAGATATTCTTTTTGTATAAACGGAATACACCCATTATGACATTAAATAAGAAAGAAAGATTAGTTCAGCGAAGAATTCGCCGAAAAGAGAACTCTTCGCTGAACTAATCTTTCTTTCTTATTCTTTTTGCATCTTCTTATCCTTCTAAACATATTTAACTCCAGATCGTTTTTTGAAATCAATTCTGACTTTCATAGCATCAATCTTAATTATTATTGCACAAATATTTATACTAATATCCGGTTTCATTCTGTATACTATTACGTAAATCTAAATGTATTCATCCGAGTGCTTTAACGGATTTTTATTTTATTTTTCTAAATTGTTGGTTTCCTTGTGAGGTTGATATTCATTACACAATTATTATTCTTATCATGGATCAAAACTTTTCACTAAGTTTTCATTTCTTTTCTCTCTTCTTTCCCTCTAAATAAATATTATTCTTTAGATTACGAAGTTTGTAATTAAAACAATAACTTGTGTTACACTGAAATTAACTTCTCAGACCCGTTTTATCTTCACTATGCATATATGACTCATACATATTGATAATTTATTATCCCTTTCACTTAATTGTAACTTTCATAGCATCACTCTAAACTATAACTGCACAAACATTTATTCTAGCGTCATATCTTACTACAATAATAAGTTGTTTTTTCCCAATTATTTTTTGTTACTAATTTGACGGTATATACATAGTCGTTTGTTCGTGTTTTATGTTCATAAACACGTCAATTAAACTGTTTGCGTATTTCACGTCTCCTTTATTTCTATTCCGTTATTTTCTCCATTTCCTTCTTTAAACTCAATTCAATATTCTTCTCAATTGCACAGACCCGATTTATTATTATTAATATTCTACTATTATTGCTCCAATTTTTTTAATGGCAAGTATAATGCTGAGATTATTGAAAATTGTGAATTATTGCATTTTTTGAAGAAACCCGAAATGGTTTCTTCACAACACTTATGTACCCATAAGATGTTTGTGAATAATAATAATAAAAACAGTGTTAGACGAAGCTTTACTTTGGAGCTTTGGCGGATTGTCTGAGAGTCCACCAAGGGCTTACCAAGTAAACAGTCATTAGTTTTAGCTGCTATTTGATTTTTCTTCTCAGTCACGCCAGGATGGGTGTAAGATCCATTTTGAAGGTTTTATGTGTTGGTGAAAATCCCTCCATGTATATACTTGTACTTTGTTCCTATTGATTCCCTAAGTTGTACATTGTTGTATTTTGATTACATTTGAGTTATTAATACTTGTATTTTTTATTATAGTTTTTGTTTTTTCTTACGCATTCACTAAGTTTGTGTTTCTTCCTGAACTGCATCTGTGTTGTTTTACTTGACACTTGTTCTTGGCGGTAGCCATATTGATTTGTTCCTCCTGTTGTGTGTGATCTATCCAGCCAGGATAGAATAACGTTGATTTGTTGTGATTGATTTGGTCAATTGAACAATTATTGGTTGGATAGCTGAGTGGTTATATTTGTTTAGGTAATAATGTACACTTAAATTTATGATAAATTATAGAACCGCTATCTTACCCAATTACTTTGTTTTGGTTTCAATCGGGCGAGGGCGCGTATCTAACTCATTGAGACAGCTGTCCAGCAGTCCAAACGTAGTTTGGATCTTACAATGGGTTTAACACTCACCATCAGATTTTGGTAGTACAGTATGTGACTCACAATGAGAGTCCATCAGTGAGTTACTAACTACCTGTGTACTGCCTACAAATTTTTTCATTTCGTTTCGTTTCCTACGTACCGTAGTCCATTTTTCATCCCTCAGGATATTGGGACTATTTGGAACGGTGATGCCTTCATGCAGTTCGTCGGTTCCCACTAAAGATGCATTGTTATCAATGTCAGTACCAGGTGGTATTACTCCACTTGTTAATGTTAACGGCGGTCTCACTTTTGCGTCGGTCAGAGTCGGTTGTTTGAAGCGTCGCGTAACAGCAGGTACTACACTGACACAATCGTCATGTAGCAGTGAATAAATCCCCAAAATAAATAACCCTGTAAGTTTTTGACATTGGATACTGACCATATGTTTTAGTGGACTCATCTAGCTGAAGGCGCTCGGTCAGGCACCAGATCACGTGTGGTAACGCCGTGCTCAACTGCTACTGCAATCGCTAGCCAGATTAGATCAGAGAATTCCGATATATTGGTCATCGCCTCGACTCTGTCTTTTGATTTCTCTCGGTGGGTACAAATTATATTGGAAGGTGTTGCTGGTTAAAGCGTTGTCAAACACTGAATACCTGCGTCATCTTCAGTCACTGTCACTGCCGGTGTTGTCAGCGCATGTGTCATCGTTTTTCTTGCAGGCCAAAGCCAATAGGCCCATAGCCTCCTGTGTTAGAACCTTCTAATCCGTACACCAGAACATACAAAGCCAATGCGAGTTAGGCTTCGAGGATCTTTTGTATGCCATCGGACTTAGGCGTGTTCATATTGTGTGGTACCACGTTTTACAGTCATCGCGCTGCATTGCCTCCTCAACGGGGAACAAACAATTTGCTTGCCCACATTTGTGAGTCTTACCAACCATTGTAACTAGCTTTAAAAGGTTTAAAAACACACAATGATCACAATGTGAACACAAGCGTTGGTCTAGGAGTAAAAAAGAGTACATAGGACAAAATTTAGCAAAAAATTTCAAACTTTAACCAAAGTACTTGTAGTTAAAGTAGACCAAGAGTGCTTTTTGTGGCAATAAGTACCCAAAGCAAGTATAATCACAACAAGTACAAAAATCACTGCTCTTTTTGAAACGAGCGCGTAGGTCACGTCGAAGCTGGTCGAAAATATAAACAAAAAACAACATCAGATTACGTATACACACAATAATACTTATACATCACGGACAAACAAATTATACCATAACTATCTATGTTGAACAACTAACCTATAATTATTAAAAAAATCCAGAGTACGATATCCTCTTAATTTAGTATAGAAGTATTGGAATAGAGTTTTTGTATAATAAATTTCGTCAAACATTCTCTATATGGGTGGTAAAAGTGTTTAGAAGTTAGTGTTTGTCTGCATCCAATCTGCACAATAGGTAGGTACAGTGCGCGACTATCGACTTGTGGACGTCTCTTCACTATGCTTGGCAGCTGTTTTTCCACTATCACAAATCTATAATCCTCTTATATCACTTGTACAAAACTATTGTAAATATGGACATTAGAAGGAGGACAACCTATTTGTCTCGAGGTGCTGATGGCCGTCCGTCGCACAACTACAGTTCGTTTTTTCAATCTGCACAGAAAAAATATTGCAATGCAGATCCTGAAAGTGGTATTCGTCTCGTTGGACCAATGTTTGAACTAACTGCTTGTGTAGAGCTTAAAGGAGAGTAAGTTATTGAAATGTACACGGAATACACTCATGTCCCACTTCAATTTCTAAGGGATGATTTCATATGAGAGCGATCTTGTTTTGTCTTGCTTATATAAATGTAACTGGATGATGTCGTTAGGTATCCTAGTTATCCAACAAATTAAGTCAAAGACTAGGAGACAAGTTTCACTTATAGGTAGTTCTCGAGATAGCTAAAACGGGTTGTTTGTAATACCAGTAAATGTGCCCCTTAGACTAGAGTTTAATACCCACTTGTGTGGTTTTAGTTTTGGTCTGTGTTATATAACGTGGAATGGTACTGAGTGTTCGTGATTTAGACGGACAATAATAATGCTCGGTTCATAGTACATTGACGCAGTTTGTGTTGAAACCTGGAATGGGGTCTAGTGAAATTTCCATTACATTTGAAGTTTAGCAACCTGCGCTAGGGTTGAGACTCGACTAGAAGTTTTGTTTGTCAGTTTTCACGTCCAATAATCCGACAATGTTATTAACATAATCAAGATTTCTTGTTCCATAGTTCCACATTTCCATTTAGGCTAGTGATCACGAAATAGCACTTCGGGGGTCCCAATTGACAGTTTGATTTCTGCTGTGCTATAGCCAAAATTTATAGAGATATTTGTAAATTTCAATTAGTAGAAACACTTGATTTAGCTGAAGCACAGATTTAACGTGTGATCCTGGACTATTCTACACGAACTAAACCACTTAGGCATGATTTATCCTTTTCCCATCAAGTTGGTAACAGTCCTGTCCTTAGGAACGTGTTTTCACCTCAGTTTTTGCGTAACCCTTTTAGAAATTCTTGCATTTTTCTTGAGGACACGTTTTAATATCTATTGGATTGATGTGATTCGCGAAAGGATTTGAGTAAGGTAACTTGCTCTGCAGCCATATGACTCCTTCGTAGCTTGAGTATAACAATCTTGCAAATACTTAACAGATATTAGAAATTGTTTGGGGTATACTGACTAAGTCTACACTGAGTTCTGGAATCTAAGTTTGCTTACCAATGACCTAAACCATTTATTCTTTAGTCTTAAGGATGTTTAACCCAGATTATAATAGCAGTACGTTAGGACAGAGATTTTAGATTACCTATAATCAGTCTGAGTAGGATTCTTTCCAGCAATAGCTGTCAAGAAAGTGTAACTGCTTAATCCCTAATACTCATACATGTTTCCGTTAAGTTTATATAGGAGGGTACAGACTATCTGGTCGGAGTCCTCGTAATTATCGTGACCAATGATTAGGGACTTTGAATGACGACTAGAAAACTTCTGAAATGTGCACTCACTCTTTGCTTCCCCTTAGATCTTTAGTTTTTAAATTATCCTGTTAATTGTTTTTATTCCATGACTCCATATTTCCCTGGATCACTTCTTCGATGCTTATCTTTTCTATTACTATCAACACTGTTGATACCGCTACTACCCTGGTATTTGATCTGACAATTTCATCTCGTCGTGCGAATGAGGTATGTCAATTTCAATGTTTGTACACATGTACTCGGTTCTACGTTTGGTTCGACTGGCTGACTAAACTGTCCATAACCATACCATATATCAAGTTATTTATTTTTTGTTCTATTTGTTAGTGAGGAAGATTTTGAAACGATGTATCCGGATACATCACTTTCATTTGGCCCAACTATTTGTTCATTTGGCCTGAAGTATAACGATCATAATTACGCCCTTCCTTCAGGATTAACTCCTCCCTCAATGGCACCCCATTTAATGGATCTTCAAGTGCCGAAAAATAAATTTTCAGATACAAAGCTGAACAATCTCTGCTCGAAAAATTTGTTTGCCCAAAAGTCAGGCTGTAAATTAGGGGCTGAAGATAATGGGCAAAAACATAATATTGATAAGCGTTTCGATAGGCAAAGTTCACTTACTTTTAAACGCTCCACACTCGAAGGGAATGGTATGTACAGCAGTGATGGTAAAAAGCACTCTAGTGGGCTATGGTATTCTAAATCCATAGATCTCGACGACAAATCGTTGGCGGATAGTGATTCGAAGGATCAGTATATACCTTCACGATTTGGCTCACAAATTTCCAATTATGAACAAATGGAGTTACGGTGTGAACCTGAGTTGAAGGTATGTTGAGTTAATATATTTTCACGAACGTTCATATGCTTTGCACTTCACAATGCTTAATTTCGTAGACTTATGAAGATTAGAATGTTTTATGTGTTTTCGCTAGCTTTGATTATGTTCGCTTAACACCATCGGTTTTGAGCTGTTTACGCAACTAATATTGACATACGCCTAGTTAGTTTCCAGAATAAACGATCAGTGTTTATTTGGATTTCTAGATAGAAAAAATGATTCCTTTCACCATTCTTATTACACAGTAAGTTTATGGTCTAAATTTCATTTATATACTGCGTAGTACTCAATATAAGACAAATAGGCAATAATTATGAAATGGATCAGGAACTTATTTAATAAGAAAGAAATCGGTGGTATTAAAATACCAAGAACAAAACTAATATCTTTTTAGATTTACAGTTGCATTTATGTACTCGACCACCTTCGGATTCCTTATAGTCTCGGTACTGGGAAATAATTAGTGATAAAGAAGACAGGGACCCCATGTCAATCCTACTCAACGTACTACAAGGCAAAACTGTGCATTTATTCAAGTTACTAAAATTCAGTGCTGATATATTACTTTGATAACAAGGAAAGAAAATCAGTCAGTATAACAAAGGTATTAATTTCAGTCAATCATAGTTATCGTAAGACCTTGCGTAGTTGCGCGTTAGCCTAAGTTGTCACCATTTAATCAGTAATATATGAAATTAATGCAATGAACAGAGAGGAAGTTGAAATAGTGGGACTAGCATCGACAATACGAAATACTAAACATTAAACTGGTTCAAGAAGACAAAATCAGAAGTTAAGAATAAAGGAATATTGGGATTCAAGATCAAGATGTTAAAGAGTAAGTGTATTTGCACTACTGTGACCAGTTCTGAGTTATTTTAACCAACGTTTAGTCACTAGTCACGGTTACCACACCTAGGCTAATCAAGTAGTTTGAACTTATCATTAGTCAATAACTTCATGGGCAAACATCACCTCGGTTTTTCTTAAATTTGATCCTATTCCAACCAACATTGCGCGTCAGGGTAACCGACGATCAGAAATACTTGAACATCTTCCGCTCAACTTAGTCGAAAGCGATCTACTTAGCATCTTCGCCTAGTATTCCAAGTCCGATTTCATTATTGCACATTCCGTTGCTCCATTATATGCCATCAATCCTTAAAAAGTACTATGGTGAAATAGAGCGTACTGCCGAAAAGTACACTTGCTCTCGAATATTCATACGGATGTTTCACCTAAACTGTAAGTGGTGCAAACGGGAAAATCCTAAGCAAAATTTATCCATGTCGAAATTCCGTCAGATAGCAACATCTTAACTAATGAAACTCTCAAGGTAGTCAAAGCGGCCAATGATCTTATCTACTTCACTATCTATGGTATGGTAAAACGGCATTGATAGTGACTTGTCTTGAAGCTACATTTTACATTTAGACTGATAGGAACAGATCTCGAACTTCCTTACATTGTTATACAAGGTCTTTAAGCTAATATGTTTCGTTAATTTCATCGCCAAACAACTATTTTATAAGCCAATTGCTGGTCAGCAAGTAAGCTTTTTAGAAAGGACATTTGGGGGCTACCCTTTCTAGATTAGAAAGTTCCATCAACGTGAGAAGAAACGGGCGTGAGAAACGATGTCTTTTCATCATCTCCGCTTATGCCCCGACAGATTGCAGCCCGGGTGCAATCAAGGATGAATTCTACCACCAGTTATCTATTCTTCTCCAGAAAGTGCGTTCGACAGATATTGCAGTACTAGCCAGAGACTTGAATGCTCAGGTCGGGCGTCTAGGCACAGAAGAGGATTGTTTAGGTGGCCGATGGGGACTTGCTGATCGCAGGACAGATAACGGGGACCGTTTGCTGCAACTATGCACAGACCACAACCTGTTTCTGGCTAGCACTAACTTTCGACACAGTCATCGCCGATGTGCCACCTGGCGTCCTCCCTCTGCATCTCAAACCTGGACTCAGATTGATCACATCGCGATCAGCTACCGCTGACGTGGTTGTGTACAAGACTGCCGCTCCTTCTGGAGTACCTATCTGGACTCTGACCATGCCTTGGTCTGCGCCAATCTTACCTTACTTTTCAGTGGACAACGAAGTGACCGCCACCAACGGATTGATGTTAGCAAGCTGGTTGCAACTTTTGTTGCTAGTAACTATCGAATCGAGCTAGCTTCTAGGCTAGCTACCATTCCACCGAAAAGTATAGATGAGCATTGGTTGCAATTGCATGACGCCATGAAAATGGCGGGTGCAGTCAGTTATGGGTTCGCGAAACGTCCCACTTACAAGCACTGGGTTTCTTCAGGTTCCTTACAACTCATTGAAGCCAGTCGGTCTACTCCGGGTGACCGTGAGTTTGACCACAAACGAAGGATGTTATGTAAGGAAATTGGGCAAAGCTTGCGTAAGGACCGAGAAGCCTGGTGGTCGAAGCGTGATAATGAGCTGGAAGCAGCAGCCGTATCTGGTAATTACCGGAAGTTCTTCCAACTCATCCGAGCCACTTGCAGCAAGAAGTCTGGTGTGAGCGAAACAATCTGCGAGGATGATGGGAGGCCGATCACTAACATCCGTCGACGTCTTGGACGATGGGCGGAATTTTTCGAAGGGCAGTTCAACTGGCCTGCTGCTCCAGCAACATCGGTCAGACTGTTCTGCCCTCCATGGCCGGTGACGACTAATCCACTAAATGAGGCGGAAGTCCGCAAGTAACTCCAACTCTTGAAGCGTTACAAATCACCTGGCCCAGATGACTTACCTCCGGCTCTTTTTAAAGATGGTGGTGACTTTCTGACTAAGGAACTGACGACGTTGTTTACAAAGGTCTGGGAGTTAGAGAGTGTATCAACGTCATGGAATGAGTCGATAGTTATCCCTATCTTTAAAAAGGGTTCACGTCGTTCCTGTAACAACTATCGGGGGATAAGTCTACTTCCGATTGCCTCCAAGCTATTGGCTTCCGTCATACTTCGTAGGTTGTTCGAAACCTGAGAAAGATTGACTCACGAGGAGCAGGCTGGGTTTCGTTCTGGTCCAGGATGTATTGATCATATGTTCACCCTCCGCCAAATGTTAGAGCACCGCCATACTTATCAAAGGCTAACAATCGTAGTGTTTCTGGACATTAGGGCTGCCTTCGACTCGTTGAACAGGACTGTTCTCTGGGATTGTCTATTGAAGAAGGGTGTGCCTGAGAAGTTCATTAACATCCTAAAGGCCCTATATACAAACACCTCAGGCAGAGTGAGGGCATACAACCACCTTTCTCCATTGTTCCATTCGAGCAGTGGGGTTAGACAGGGTTGCCGAATCTCACCATTCCTCTTCAATTTTGCCATCGATGACATTCTGGAAACAGCTCTGATGGATGTAAGTAATGGTGGTGTGGATCTGTTGCCTGGAGAAAGACTTCTCGACATTGAGTACGCGATAATGCCCAAGCCATACAATTCGCACTTAATCAGTTGGCAATCAATGTCCGTAGGTATGATATGTGCTTTGCACCTTCGAAGTGCAAAGTACTTCTACAAGACTGGCAGGATTCTAATCCTGTACTCACCCTGAGTGGTGAGCAGATAGAAGTAGTCGATAAGTTCGTGTATCTGGGTAGCTGCATAAGTGCTGGTGGTGGCGTGAGTGATGAGATTACTGCACGTATGGTGAAAGCCAGAGCGGCTTATGCCAATCTGGGCCATGTTTTGTGCCTTCGTGTTGTTAGTCTGGCTTTAAAAGGTGGGATCTACAACGCATCGGTGAGAGCAGTTTCGCTTTATGCTTGTGAAACCTGACCTCTCTGAGTTGAGGATGTTAGACGACTCTCTGTGTTCGATCATCGGTCTCCGAAGGATTGCTGACATCCAGTGGCAACATCATGTTAGTAATGCAGAGGTTCGGCATCGTGTGTTCGGGCACAGAGACGATAATGCACTTGATGTCACCATCTTGAAACACCGACTTCGGTGGCTTGGACATGTTCTACGAATGTCGTCCCAGAAAATTACACGTCGTGCATTATTTGCCGACTCTGGGAGTGGTTGGAAATAGCGGAGAGGTGGTCAGTGTATGACATGGTGTCGTGGTATGAAAGAAAGCTGCAAAGGGTTGGCTTGTGTTGGTTCTTCACGACTCCCTGGCTGAGGTCCTAGAGATGGGGCAACACAGTGGCTAGAGGCGTTATGAGATATGGCTCAGAATAGAAGCCAGTGGCGATCCTGTTGTAACCTTCTTTTACTTTTTTCATAAAAAGTGGTTGTTTCTTCCTTAACTGAAAGATTTCTTCTGATTGTACTTTTCCGTTTTCCCCGTTATTATTATTATTATTACACTACATTACACTAATCTGTTCTTTTTTTACTCCCCTTACCTCCTTTTTTTCTCTCTTCGAATTCTCATTGTTTTGTATGGCGCATATATATTTGGTGCCCTCTTGTACCAATATTTGTATTCAAATAAAAATAAAAAATGAAAATTTCTAGAAAGGTCTACGCGTGAAACGCTGAAATGGAAAGTGTAATTCCTAAAGGAATAAATGTGTATGTGAAATTTCGTGATAATGGGAATAACAGTCAAACCTAACGAACATTTAAGTTCGACTGTTCAGACGACAGCCACGTGCTTCTACTTATAGTGTTGGTCATAATGTTCATATCCTTCTTTAGTGCCACGGTTGCTCAAACACAAAACGTATGGAATCCACATCTGAGGCATAGTAATTACAGATAGTTGTGTGATCACTGCTTCATTAAGGGACGGGTGTTTACTTCCAAACTGTGGCGATAACTAAGTTCCTACTTAATATGTCGCGATTTGTTACGATACTACTTAAAGCTTGCAGTAAGTAGGCGATTGGTTATTAATCATGAGCTTTTACATCTTGTAGGTCATTGAAGTGCCCGAAGAACTTGCTGTTTCACCTTCTCAGTTAAGTGATTTGGATAGTGACACATCAGAAGTGGATTATATTGCAAAGGTAATCTTATTTTTTACGATTCATACACTATTTCAGTATGTCACTTTTGCAATTTGTTATGGTAATACAGTTTATTAATGATTACATTTTACATCAGACGTGATCACATGGCCATTGAGATTGCTTAACCATGATTCTTTTCATTCAACATAATTTGAAGCTACTTAAGAGCTCTTAAAAACTGTAGATGGACTTAAATCTGGGTAGAGCACTTTCATGTTAAGTAACTGGAATTTGTTTGGATAAAATAGGTTAGCCAACTAGCTGTATTATATCTAAGAGTTTGTAGGTAAAATATTTTCAAGCATATGAGTTTAATCCTATGGCAGACATTCAAGTCATTTTCAACAAACCAATAAAATTTGATGTACATGTCCTTATTGTGCATTCTCTATCTTTCTGAGATCAAGCAATGTGTTGATTATCAGTGCTGTTACTTACTCTGAGTTGTTTACTGCTTGCAAATGCACATACAATGTCGTAAATTCTCTGCTTATTTTATTGTCCTTCTGTAACCAAGTAGCAAACTATACCTTGTTAACGTTTACACAGAGTAGTTGATCTATTTCTTTAGGACTTTTGTCGACCGATGAGTACTAGTCGAATTAATGACTTCATACAATGTTGCTTTTGTTACTTAGGTTGAATTTTTAAATTTGCGCTAATTGTATTGATAGAGCGGTGTCTAATTATTGTTTCTTTTGTCGTCCAACATTCATACTATCGTTCACGCTTGGTGTTATCTGAAATTGACTACTTTCCAGCTGGAGAAAATACCAATCATAAGTTACTTTTTTAAAACAATGAACAAAATAAATGTTTTTGCATCAACGTTCCTTAAATTTGTATTTCAGATCGTTATTCCTTCTTCCGATGGCTCATATATTCAGCCGGCTGTTGATAACGCTTGGGTCGGTAATAATGTATGGGCTGATGTCCGCTGTGTATGTGGTCACTCTCAACCTAAATCCGGACTTATACGATGTCCCAAATGCAGGTTTGTCTGGTCTTTATATTTTTCAAATAAGCATAAAATCTTATTATTGAAAGATGTAAAACAGTGATTGAGTGACTAGTTAAACCTTTCAGCCATTGGTTATTTTAACCTGTAGTTGGTCAAATGAGTGACGTTGACAAAATACTGAAATAAATATGCGTGATTTGAAGCTTACTGTTTTACTATTTTGTTTTATCGACATTCTAGTGACGTGGTCTAACTAACCTAAAACGTTAACTCTGAAGTTCATTTTGTTCGGTATTCTGTAGTTTTTTTAAATTTTTTCCTTTGTTAAAATTCACGTTTATTAGAATAGCATTTGTTCAGGTGCCTTCTATATTTTGAAGTTATCCAGTAGTTTGTGATATCTTGTTAGTATTCTTATGCTGGTTGGTAATATGCGGATAAATCTTGGAGAAATTGTTCAAGTTTGATCAAATGTATCACATAAAGCGATAAATAAAATTATTTTTGCGATTACTAAACATTTTGAATGTTCCCTGAATAGCATCACGGTTGTAAAACTTTCATCTCAGTTAATATTGTGTGGTCTGGAAAATCTAGTTTCCTAATAATAGTTTATAAAACTTTTACATTAAATGAATACTATTGATGTATTATCTATTCAAACAACATAAAAGTTTTCGCACGTCGTCGATTCAAGTGTTAATGATTTAATCGACACAATGTAGTATATCTGTCTTGATACAATTTGTACAAGTCATCGTAAAATATGTCGTTCATATGATAAAAAGAAACGTATTATTGAAAACCAAGTTTCCCGGCTTAAACTAGTGCACCCACTATTTACATATCGAAATGTGTGACGCAAAATTGCTCTTAATTTCAGTAATTAGTTTCAATAAGCACTTATTTATCATTTTACTTTTAAGCTATCTTAGTATGCGATTTAGCATCGTATTATCAAACAGTAATCTGTTTTGGCTGTGCTACAATAACAAATTTGTCTATTTCATTTCCTCTTCACTTTATGTAAACAATTAGCTATCGATCTATAATCAAGCAAAATTGATGTGATAAACATCCAGTAATTTACAAGCCAATTGTTGAATGTTTTTCATTTGATTGAAGAGTTTCCTTTGTGTTATTTTTATCTTTTTTATTGAATGTTTCACTTTAGTACTTGTCAACATGTACAGTGTATGGAGTCATATTACAATGTTACTATGCCTCGATTGAGTGATGGATATACCTGCAATGTATGTGGAAATGAAAATACTGAATTTCAAGGTACATCTAACCAATCATCGGACACAACAACAAATGCCAATGCAAACAAGGATTGTGTTGCTCTAAATGATGATACTACGAATTTTATTGATGCTGCTAATAATTCGTCAATAAAATTGACTCAATCTTCTGATGGGAACATTGGAGCTCAGTATGTAGAAGTTGCTGCTGATAGAGCGAAAAGATTGGGTCTTTTGTCGAATAACTGCAAACTGGATGCTGATGGTTCTACGTTTTCTGGGTCTTGGTCTGGTCACTCTGTTGTAAAAGAACATGATACTACTGGACGTTCTGGTTGGTCATCTGTGAATTGGGAAAAATTGGTGAGGCTAGGAACAATTTAAATGATAAGGAAACAAAATTAAAAATGTCGAATGGCTAATATGAAATCTTATTAGGAAAACTGATAAACTGTTTAAAGTCTTGTTTTTGTAGGGTTTCTAGAACTTGGAGAAAAACACTGAAATCACATATTCCTGTTATTTTAGTTTATGGTAGTATTTGTCTTTTCAGTTTGTAACTTACGTTAACATGAAAGTTTTTCATAAAATCTAATGTTCATTAACATCAACTTAGTCAATAATAGCCTCATTTAACTTTAAGCAGGTGACAGTACCATATTCTGGTGTTTAACTCTAATTATTTTTAGCAATGGTGGTCGAATGCTGTCAGTTAGATGAATGAAAATCTTTGATTAAACCTAGTAGTTGGACTCAGTTTTATCTGACATATCTCGATAGTCTGTCGTCTTAGTTTTAAGAAACGACAAATTCTCTTTTAGTAAAAGTTCTGACTAATACAGTACAAGATATTAGTTTCGATGATCAGCCGAAGCCCAAGTACTGTTTTGAAACAAAAATTATAGAAAACTAGACATTTAGTATCTGACTGCGTATGTTATTGACCAAATGTTCACTATGGGTTTGGTTTTGAAACTGATATACCCTACTGGTACTCAACCGTAGTGTGATCATATATTATGTGCAAAAAAATAGGCGAATAATTTTGATAGCAATATTTTCTGATTACTAGTGTAGAATTTCGGAATTTCAATCACATATAAACATTCTAAAATTCTGTAAATTCAGTATGTTTGGTTTTTCGGTTGTATGCTATGTGTATACACTGCACCCTGTTATTGTTCTGTGGAGCGGTGACAGTAGTTGCCGAGACGTTCAACTTTTAACCACTAGGTCACAGGCTCAAAGTCCTGCTTCACTTAATTAGACTTTGGCTGACTCTCACAAGTAGTATTTAGCTCAAAGGCTTGGGTATATAAGTCTGTACCCCTTAAATTACATCATCTCATTCATGTATATTTTGTTATTTAGTATTACTACTTTCTGATTTTTAATAAATTACATACATTCGGTGCTTTCTTGGAGATTCGGTATGTAAAAAACATGTTTCTTTAAGCGTGAACTTTCATTTTCCGTTGAAGTTTTCATTACTCGTAAGACAATTCTGTATTTTTTTACATAGAACGAAATTTCTCGTTCTGGTCGCAGGCATCATGGTGATACAGATGTCAATTTGAGAATGCCATCTCCTCCAAGAGCATCCAAGCGGAAGCAAGACCTAACTTCTACATCGTGTAAGTGATTTCACTCTCTTTGATTTGTTGTCTTGTTAATGTTGTAATTTAGTACTATCTGTATCGTTGTCTCTATTTCTTGTATACATGTCTCCACAAAGCCTTTATTCCGCGTTGGTTGAAACTGTGTAGACGATGTTTGACCACACATATTTTAGTAGCATTATTTTATATTTATTTGTTTCATATTTCTGCATAATTCGTTATTCCTCTCATAATACATGACATGTTGTTCTTTAACTTATCTTTCTAAACCTGTGTTCGTTTTTTAGGATTTTAAAAGCAGTCTTCGCTTGTTTTGAATATGCATGTAATCCCTAATCGCTTCGATTTGGGCACCCGGGCAGTATCACAGCTCTCACACATCAAATGAGATTTGTGTGGCGCATATGTATTTGGTGCCTCCTTGTACCAATATCTATGTGTTAAAATAAATAAATAATATCGTTTGTTTAGTGTAGTTTACGAGTTGTTCCTCGAAACATTTCTCCGTTTTCAAGGAATCACCTCAATTTGTTCCATTGAGAAGAACTTTGGTCCTATTAAATTAGTTTCTCTTATTCATGCTTAATTTTCCAGATAATGACACAGAAGTTGCCGCAGCCGATTCGTCTTCTGAACAAAATTCCAACACTACCGTTATTTTACCAAATAGTGGTGATGAGTCATCTTCTGTAGATGTAACACCTTCGAGCACACCGTCAAATACTCCAATGAAACCAGGGACTTTACCACTCACTCCTGTCACTCCCACAAGTACACCTGGTGGCACGCTTACACCTGGTTCTGGATACAGTAGTTCTTCAGGTGTAGAAGGCAGTCCGCGTCGTCACAGACTAGGTATTGATCGTTCAACTCATAAAGTCAGGTAACGCATACTGCATTTATTTACTCTATTTTTTCGGTAAATTGAAGGAAGTTTTCTGTTGAAAGTGAAATTCATCAGTTTTAGTCTCTACATCTGCTATAAGTTTTAATGTTTGAAACGCTCAGGAAGTTTTTTTAATGCTGTTTCACTATCATTTCTGTAACTATTTGAAATCCGAACACTAACTTTTTGCATAATATTCATATTTAATTACTAAAAGAAATGTTGAATTGAACAGGTCATTTTTATGATTACACCTGTGTTGTACTCTAACCAATGTATGGGTTTATAACAATATCAAATGTTCTTAATAATTCTTCATTCTGGGATATTACGCTCCCACACATTGAAGTAGTCTGAGTAATACTGAATATTTATTGCATAGTAGATAAACATTTTTTGATGTATATCACTGAAATGTAGAATAAGGGTAATCATTTTTTCATCATTTATTTTATGTATTTACACGTTTATTATCCATTAATGGTAGGAATCACTTGTCAGCTTATTGGAAGCATCTAAAGTATGATTACTGATTGATAAGAATGTGTATGATAATGTTCATGCTACAACATGGCACGGTAGTTATGTTGACCTTAAATGTGAAATCAGTTGTTAATCTGATTTTAAATATCAAGTCCTTAAAATATTTGTCTCATGATTCCTGAAATCACCAAAAAGTAAATATTTGCCAAAATACTCTTGGTATTGTTTTGCTTGAATCACCCCATTGAGGCTTAAGACTGCAATTGATCAGTCTGTTATTGGCATATGTACATACTGTGTGTATTGCCTCGATATTGCCTTAATTCAGAAGCTTTATAAGCAAAGATGGATAGTGGCCAGCAGTGGAATCCGGGACGCGCGTTTCGTCCCACTTGGGACTCATCAGCTGGATGTACCTGGATCTCAGAGTTGGTGTTCACACTGGGACTCTAAACCATTAACACTCGCTTCAAACGCCATCAGCAGCTGAGTGGATATCGCGATGGCGTTTGAAGCGAGTGGTAATGGTTTCGAGTCCCAGTGTGAACACCAACTCTGAGATCCAGGTACATCCAGCTGATGAGTCCCAAGTGGGACGAAACGCGCGTCCCGGATTCCACTGCTGGCCACTATCCATCTTTGCTTATTTGCCAAAATAGTTTGCCGTTTCAGTATTTCGAACAAGCAGTAATCATTCAGTTTTATTTCTGAGAAAACAAGTGTGAAAAAATACGGAATCTAATCGAAGTGTAATGAAATAAGATAAACTAATAACACCGTTTGACCACTGAGTAATAGTCAACATCGTATTGTTTTATTCAAAATTGGTTACTGATTGACTCTAGCAACAAAATGGTAATAATGCCACATTTACATGAAGATTCAGTCCATCAATATAGATTTCTATGGAATTTACGATGCATGTTAGATGTTAAGCGCTGTATTACAATCATCATTGTTTGTGTCAACCAAACAGCTTAATGTTCCTATTTTTATTATATTCGATTACAATTTGGTTTGTTCACGGATCCAACAATCGATATGTCTAACACCTAAATGGTTTTGGTAACTAGCTTTTGTGGAATAATTAAAATTAATACATCTGCTCGCAAAGCAGCTGAAAGATTATCTTTCATCTTGTTACGCTTATTCGGCATTGAATACAGTTACAGAAAGCTTAAGGTGTGCATAAATTGTGAAGAAGTGATAAGTTACAATTACATGTAACATGTTCCTAACACTTAAGTGGTCTTGTTCAATAGTTTTTGTGTTGTTTGTTCTTTTGTTTATTGTATTCGATTTCTTTTTATCTGTAGGAGAGTTCTGTTTTCCGATGGCTCCAATTCAACGAAGCGTCGTTTTGACGCTCGAACTAATCCTCTTGGTGCAGCTTGGGCTAAGGACTATCAGGAAGCTGAAAATAATGTTTATACGAAAGCTCTGCTCGAACGTATACAGAGTAGAATGTAAGTATATTGTTGTTACTTAACCAACAGTCATAAAATGGTACTGGTTATGTTCGTTAACCTCCTAGTTTTACGGGACTTTAGTTCAGTCATTTGTTTGTTGTTCTCAGTTAGTCGGTATAATGATAAAACAAACCTCATATTTGACATGTACATAAAATTTGGTCCCATGTAACCCATATAAATTCTTTCATCAAAAGACTTTGTGGAATTTGATTGATTTAAACATTTTCATCAATATCAATGACTCAAATCATCCAAATAATAATTAAAAATCGTGTACCTTTCATCAATTTATATATAATAATACCACGCTTATATACAATATTGAAAATAATTGATGTTGTCTACTGTGCGCTTGGAAACATTGTGTAATATTTGTCTGGTCTGGAGTATGGAATAATGACCTGATATGAAAAGGTAATAACGTGATCTAGAGTCTCTACATTGTTTTAAACCGTGAACATGCCTACCAAGGTTGCTGTAGCACAGTTTTACTTTAAGAATCATATTGATGGTTGCTCATGAAGAGTGAATTAGGTACACAGTTTCCAAATGAGCTTAAATCGGCTAGTAAACAAACGACAAACGAAATGTGTATTATGTTTTGGTAAGTAACACTTTACTTTAAAAAAAATACGAACGAAAAACATGAAAATCATTTAAAAATACACTCTTTTATGATCAGGGTTTTAAGTAGGTTATTCAATATCTGTAGATTTTAAAACTCAATATATCCGGTACACCGGTTGTGCAGTAATTGATCGATCAGTGTTTAGAGTAAAGTAAGCCTAATAATGATTTTTTGGATCTCTAATATGTATATTATTTCATTGATTAAAGTTGTTTATTCGTGTTTTTATAGTTATTCAAGAAATAATAGTATTTCATCAATTACAGAGTGGTCTAAATGTTAGGCCTTTGCGCGAGATCAATAGGTTCTGTATTCGAGTCCCGCAAGTAGCATCGTGGATGCGCCGTTCCGAGGAGTCCCCTACTGGGGCGAACCAGCCGTTCAATGCATCCAGGTTTTCCATGGTGGTTTAGCTTCAACTGACTCATGAATTCAACTTCTGAATAACAGACATTTAAAGAATTCAGTTATCGAAATTTTTACATTGTGATTATTCAAAAGGTAATGAGAAGCAGTAAATCATATATAAGAATTATGGATGATAAATGTCGACTTGATGAAGATAAAAAATTTTCAGAAGAGACAAACAGTTAACAATGACTCAAAAGACTGGCTTGTTCTGGAATACATATTTAGATGCTGACTGTTCTAAGACAAGTACTCGCTTGTTTGCTCCTCATTAGATACAGAAAAGCCACATTAAGTAAATCCACTAGAATTGATTTCAGCGATGAGTTGGGCAAAAAGTAAATTCCAGAAACAACTGAAGTCACACTTAGGCAATTCCGACAACGAGGCTGAACCAGGTGTTGCTCGGAAAGATTTAGGGACAGCCGTGAAAACGACAGCGATATCTATTGGTGATTTGAACCAAAGGGTTACGATAAACCAGTGGATTTCCGCGACATCTATTGCACTGACAGACTCTCGTAAACTCATCCCATAAGGCTCTGAACATGATGAAGAGCGAAAACAAATCAGATCTAGGTTAATTAAAAGCCCACGGAACGATCTTGACTAGTGGTGGGCAACGAGAGCAAAAGAGATGGAAAAAATAACGGCTGTAGGTAACATAGGACAGCTTTTCGGACTAATAAAAGAAAACGGAATTTAGAAGTCCGGTGTAAGTGAGACTATCTCGGAAAAAGACGACACTCTCATCTGCTCCCACCTAGTCCAGACGTTTAGAACGATGGTCGGAGCACTATAGAGAACAGTTTAGCTGGCCTTCAGCTACTCTACAATTACCCACCATTCCCAGATAGCCTGAATGGAACATTGAAGTAGGTACCCCGACTCTACCTGAAGTTCAAAAGGCTACAGCTAATCTGAAACGCGCAAGAGCAGTGAGTCTAAATGGATTGGTTCCATAGGTCTCAAGAGAGGGTTGTCCAGTTTTAGCGACTAGGCTGACTAATATTTCAGCTAAAATCTGAGGACTAGATGTGATCCCATCAGACTGGTCGCAACCACTGTTTGTCCCAAAACATAAGAAGGGATCAAGATCATCATGTGATAACCATGGAGGGATTAGTTTGACTAATATAGCGTCTGAAATACTGGCCTCAATAATTATCGGGTGTCTAACAAAGACTCATGAACTGAATATACGAGAAAATTAGGCTGGCTTCGAATTCGATCGTAGCTGCACCGATCACATGTTCGCCATTCTTCAGATCCTAAAACACAGGTTTGCTTATCAGCGTCTGAAAAAAATGGTTTTTCTGGACTTGAAAGCAGCATTTGATTCTGTAGATCAAGATGTTCTGTGTCTGTGTCTGTCTGTCTGTCGTTGAGAGGCGTATCTCAGAAGTACATAAAACTTGTGAAGGCTCTTTACTCAAACACTATCAGTCAACTCAGATCTTATGGAACACGCAGATGACATAGTTTTGTTTGGCGAAGACACAGTGTTTTGGTAGCACTGAGCAACAATGCCAGGAAGTTTGTGATGCGTTTCTCCTTCCCTAAATGCAGGTTGTTGCTTCAAGACTGGCTTGCGTCAACACCTGAACTAAGAATAGTGAGTGGAGTAGTCGACCACATCGAAAACTCCACTTATCTTGGAAGTCTGATCAGCACTAATGGTGTGGTGTGTGACAAAGTCTCTTCATGGTTTCAGAAAGGTCGTTTGGTTTTTGTCAACTTACATCACCAATGGAGAAGGCGAGGTATCCGTCTATCAACTAAAGGACGAGTATACTGCGCGGCAGTTCGTTCTGTTTTACTTTACGGCTACGAAACGTGTCCATTAAGAGTAGAAGATACTCGTAAGCTACTAGTTTTGATCACAGATGTCTTAGAAATATAGCTTGCATCTGCTGGGATCACCGGGTAAGTAATAATGAGGTTAGACGCATGGTATTAGGAAATGATGGTAAATTCGTTGATGAGGTTGTGAATTTACATCAACTGAGATGGTTAGGCTACGTATTACACATGCCTAATCACCGACTACCACGGTGAGCAATGCTGACTAGTTTTGGAGACGGCTGGAAGAACGTTAGGGTTGCCAAACGAAAATTTGGCGTCCATAAAGTCATTAACTTCCAGTGTGAGCCATGTCGGTAGATGTAAACTACTTGGTTGTGGTGCACGCGACTGTCGTAGCTAGTTGTGGGAGACTTTGTGTGACATGGCTCAGAGTCAATCACAATGGTGTAGGTGTATTCACTCTTTGTCTTCCCTCAAATTACTTTATACCCTTCTTTGTACGAACTAATTCTTTTTCCCTGTATTTTATGTTTATCTGGAATGTTTTTTATAGATATTTTGCTACTATTGAAGTAACTGATTCTCTGAATTTGGTGTTCATTTTGTTGTACTAATAGGGTATGGCAATATGGACTGATGCATAACTTTATGTGGTCTTACGTTGTCGATGATTGACCGACTAGAATTATAGAGGGCTGAGGACAGAATAATATTTGCGATTAAATTTTGGATTCTGAGGTTAGGTTCGAATCGATCAATCGCTAATGCTACTATGTGCATATGTTATCTATTCCCATTCTCTTGGTACTAGTATATCTTGCTTTGTAGATACTTGCTAAGAATATCTGATGAGGCCTAGTGGTGGTTCTTAGCCAGTAGAACATTCCCTTAGTTGTTAAAACTGTCAGCTTCCAACTTATTTGCTGCAATTCACAATGGTGCTACATAAACCTCTACTTAGGGAGCCGAGTAATTTCACTAGTTCGCGCACAAGCAGTTTGTCTGAAGTTTGTGTAAATAAATATGTACTTACAGAGAGCAAGAACAGATATTGGTGCAGAATGATATGAATTTATTTTATTTCGTTAGCTTCTCATCAGCTGCTTACAACCTAAATTATTTGAAATTCAAATTATTACAGATATTGACATATTTATACAAGAGTGTGATTAAGGATCAATACATGTGTTTCATGATGTAGCGAATATTCAGATAGAGTTAATGAGCTCATAAAATGTTTGATTCGAATAAATAAATAAAGTTTGAGAGGGAAAGTTCCAGGACATTGAAATAGTGATTAGAACTCATGAAAATAGATTAATGGTAATAAACAAAATATGAATTGAAATCAATCATTCATGTATGATGTAATTTAAAAGAGTTGGATTAATGACGCAATAAATAAATAGAGAAATAAATGAATAAAAGGGGTTATTGTTACCAGGGTAAAGAAAGATTTATTACTGTCTCTTTTTGTATACATAGATCTGGTTTTAATCGTTGGATTGCTATTGCTTCAGCAAATTTCAAAAGGTTGGAGTTTGATTGTCTGTTAATCACTTTGAAGGACTTCAGTATATCAACTTCATGTCCTGTATCAAGGAGATGTCTTGCGATGGCACTGTTGAATGCGTTCAATCCATTTAATCTTAAACTTTTCGGAATATTTTCTTTGAATCGGACGTAGGCTGTTTTTTCTGTTCTACCAATGTAACTGCTTTGGCAGATACATGTAAATTTGTATACACAGTTGGTGGTAACATGAAACGGATACCTGTCGACCTTTGATTGTGTTTAAGAACATGTTGTTTTGGACAGGACAATCAATTTCGCTGCAGGATAAGTTCTTGTCAGTGCAGTTTATAAGAAAGACATATGGAATGGTAGTTATCTCAATTTCAATAGCTTTTGTCCAATCAGTTACAAAAAGGCACTGGTCAAAACACTGTTTCACAGAACAGAAAGAATATGTACATCCGATACACTAGAAGAGGAAGTTATGAATGTTAAAAAATGTTTAAGGAATAACGGATACCCACTGAAATTTATTGAGAAATGTGGCAAACGTGAAGATAAAAAACCCAAAGAAATTACGGCAAATAAAAAGCCTATTTTTATTCAACTTCAATTCAAAGGTGACGATATCCCAGAATCAATCAATATGATGGGAGCTCTGTTGATGATGTTTTTAATAACATTAAGAATACTTTTAAGTTGATCGATTACAATGATTACAGTTTCCGAACTGAGTAACTCACTAAGCACACAGCGCCCCCCAAATGGCCTGGTACGGCCGAGAGTGAGAAGACTCCGCACTCCTTCTCGAAATGCTCTCACATGGCCACGTGTATATAGCCTCTGCCAGGGAAGTCCTACTCATTGTTTTCTCGTGGCGGGGGTGTTGTTTACGAAAATGAGAGGACGAAAAGCGAATGTCCGGTCCTTTAACCGGATCCCAAACCAATGGTGCACATGGGCTGGCTCCAGTATCCTGCGGGAAAAAATGGCGTATGAACCAATCGTTGGTCACCGGCTACCATGGGAATGCATCTCCTCACGATGCTCCACTGCCTTATGGGTCAAAACTTTAGGTCAAAGCTTCGGGTTGTGGCCCCCTAAAAAACCACCTGCTTCAGTTTGGGCACCCGGGCAGTATCACAGCCCACACACACAAATGTGGTGTGGTGCATATATATTTGGTGCCCTCTCGTACCAATATTTATGTGTTGAAATAAATAAATAAAAATAATATATCATGGTTCTCAGATTTCAAATGTTAATTGTTTTTAAATGTTTAATCTTGAAACCCCATGTACCACTTTCAATGGGGGTTTTATTTATTAAAGCACCTGAATTATAGATACAATATCACAGAGTTAATCCAAATTTTTAGTTCAAAATCGAATAGTTGAGCTTGTTTTTAGTTACTGATATTCAGTTTGATTGCTATTGCTAAGTTTCCTGAGGATCTGTTAACCTTTCATCTGACGCTCTCTATAAATTTTGGGGATATGCAACCTCAATTTACAACTTAATAAAAGCAAATTAATATCGTTCACGTTCAAATACTACTACAGTAAGTTATTCAGTGTGAACAGTTCACGGCGTTTCAATGCATTTTCGCAATATATTGCGTCAATCACTCATTTTAAATATTCTAATCACTATTTATTGATAATACAATTAGCAGACTTGATGTTTTTTTCATTGGTTACACTTAGCGAACATCAAAAATAACTCATCTACAAAACGGGTGTTCTTACTTTAATTAGCGGTAGGGGATAAAAGAATATAAATTATTATCATCCATGGTATTGAATTCAAACTAATGAAAGTTTTGTCACAGTGCACGAACGTGTCAATGAGTTAGTTAACAGGATATAAAACATACTTTAATATCCACATAAATTCGACTCACATTGTATCGCCATGTTTATTGATTTAAATTTGTATAGTCAACATTTATTTATATTTTCATCATGGTTCTTTTTTATTAAGTTAACTAAACCTTACGTATCAAATCCTACGTAATTCTATTTTTTGTTTTAATAATAATATCGTTTCTGAATTTTTGAATACCTATTAAATTAAAACTGAAGGTTAGGTTAAGTATGGTTTGACTATACCATAGTCCTACTTAAATTCAACCAACAGAATATCACTAACCTTCATGCTAAAGTGTGATTCCAGGGTCATATTACACGAATCTGTATTTGATCGTAGTGTACTTGAAACCTTATCTTCAATAAACTTTCCCACCTTAAATGTCATATCTTTTATTTGTACAATGTTTGTCGTTTCTTTTGGTATTAAGAATAAAAAATTATTGACCAGTTTAAACTGTATCAGTTCTGATTTTCAACTTATACTTGTAGATCTGCTAGCGTCGAGCGAAATCATAAAATCCCCCCGGCATGCTTAACTCGGAGTTCGCTTTGTCGAGTTGTCCTTTTTGATCATAATGATAAGGTAATTTACTACACAATATGATTATATTTCTCAACAAATTCATACTGAAACATACGCAAGATGGTTTGTGTTCACTTTGTAAACACTTTCTAGTTTGTTCTAACTGATTAATCTGCAACGTTGATAAGTAATATGTTCTCTCAATTCATGAAGGGCGGCCTGCTCGAGCATCTGGGCCATCTGTTCCTGCCATTTAGATATTTCAACAAATTATCTACTTTTGTTTGTTTTAATATATCATTATGTTTATTGATCGCATAACCTATTCTGCTGCGTTTCTGAAATGTGTACAACCTTTCGTTGTCAAAGTTACAAAAACTCGATAAGAGACAATGTGGTTGCTGGCAATATACAACGAAAAGAATGTACATTATTCAGATGCTCATTTAGTGAACTGCTAACATCTAACTGGCGATCACTCAATATTTATCGCCAGGACTGACCAAGAAGAAAGAAACGGAAACTTGTTGAAATGCTTTGCGCTGAGAATTCTATATTGTACCAAAAATGTAATATTGAATAAAGCCGATGATAATAATAATAATAATAATAATGAATATAATTCAGTTTTGGTCGTATTTACGTCATTGCCTTTATTAAATTTAAAATATTTAACTGATTGATGATGGATCTGTTGACCTGTGTATTTTGTGGTACTTCTGCTACACAAATAATAGTAGTAGTGATGTGTTTCCAATCTATGTTTAACAGGCCTCTAGTTTCGTCGTCTTATGATTACTTTTTTCTTTTGGATTATATATAAGTTGTCACATCGTTTTAAAAGCCAAATGGGAAAAGGTAAATGATTATATAAATGGTCAGCAACTGATGAAACTTAAAACACACTAGAAATGTTATCTACTTTTTTTTACCTATGTGTCTTCAAGTAAGCGACAAATAATCGAAAAATGAGAATTCTCTAAGACTACGAGGATATAGTTATAATGCATCAATAAATGTTAACCTGCTACAGTTGAACACGTTTGTGAAATCCATTGTATGAACAAATGAGAACCTGCAGGATTGACAGCTACTATATAAAAATAAACTAAAGGTTATCACTCCAGCAAGGCACACATTAGAGGCGAAAAATCTATGGGCGTAAGATATTTATGTTTTGAGTATCTGAGTAGCCTAGAAAGACGAATAATGAGCAATTTTCTTCACAACTTTCCATTTCTCAAGTCTGTCGACTAATCAACTAATAATTCCAAAAGTGATGTAATCGTTTCTTTTTGTTTATATATATACTATATACTATATCTTTAGATATTTGAGCGAAAAGTAGTATTAACGTAAGCCCATGTTGAGTACATATTCCGAAAACCCTTGAACCAATCACTATTTTCGTAGTATTTATGGTCATACTCTCAAAACTTATCGGTAGGAGAAAAAAATGACCATAGTAGTTTTAATGACAGTCAAAAAACAGTCAGTTAATTAGTCTCAAGCGTTTAGTATTCCAATGTTTTGATTATTCGTGGAATAAGACTAAACGGCTTGGTATCCTGTTTAATTCGTCAGATGTCATTTCAGTAAAATATAACAAAAGCTTGTGTGAATTCCTTTTATTTAACTAGGATCATTATATAAGCCCTTCATTACTTCCAGGTTTTCTATATTGGTCCAATTTAGTTCGGTTCACTATTTTTGTTAAGAGTGTTAAAGATCACAACACCTTCAGTGTGATACTAAATCCTATTCGACTGTATTGATTAAAATATTTTATATAAATCGTGAGCTCAAAATAACTGGTAGTGTTCCTCTCATAAACTTCTGTCTTCCTTTTCTTTAGTAAATAAATAATAGCATTCGCATAAAAATCAATGTTATTAATTTCTTTCAATAAGCGTTTTCACAGATATCAGTTGCTTCCAAACACTTAATATATTAGGTCACGCGTATGTTTCTTTAAGCATTTTATTTCATAATGCAACCACGTTGGCATATTTTGCTCAAACCCCATGTATTCGTTGTGGAGAAATGAAATTACCCCAAACGCTTCAGATTGTTTACTTTTGCTCCCGTTATTTTACTTGTACCAATTAGCATTTATATATTCTACACTTAAGCATTGGACATTAACTGATTGTTACTCTGTCAACAGGGCTTAGAAGCATCAATCAGATTAGCACCGAATGAAGTTGTGACTGAAGTTCGAGGTCATTTCTTACTGATGGAAGAATATGAACACTATGTAGATCCTGTTTCCGAGTAAGTATATCATAGAAATAATTCTTATTATTAGTGCCACACATATTTTCTCATATTATATATGTTTTGCTTCTCTTCGCATTTTTTTAGTTTCAGTCATATATATATATATATATATATATATATATATATATATATAATATTTAATTCGTTTAGTTAAAAATTTAATCTAGTTGATTGATTGTCGTTCATCCACTGTTATATGGTAAAGGGAAGATTTAAAAACTGTAATAACACATAAATTTCTTTATCTCTTTTAACAGCTATAATCGTTACGTTATGTTTTATCGTGGGTTTGGCGATCGGACGGTTGTCATTGACTCTAGTCAATATGGAAATAGTGCACGATTTGTTCGACGTTCATGTATTCCAAATTGTAGAGTAGGTTTGAATCAAGGTCTTTTAACCATATTTATTGTTTACAAAAATCTGTGTATCACCTAATTTGCGAATTTCGAAACAGGTCGTTTATTATTTAGAAAGACTAATCAAACGGTACTTATTCAATCCTTATAGATCAGCAATCAGTGTGATTCCGTTTGTTAACCTGGAGTCAAGAGCATTGTGTTTAGACTATTGATAATCAAGAATTTCGGTATCACGATGAATGCTGTCTAATGCTATGCACCCACCAATGACAGCAATGAGGACGATAAATATCAGTTTTATGAAGGGCTGCAGTCGATCGTTGGGAAGTGTCAATGTAAAGACCTGATCATCCTGATGGGTGACCTAAACGTCAAGGTCGGAATGGATAACACCGGGTGCGAAGATATCAAGGGACGACATGAACTGGAAGAAATAAAAGAGAATGGTGAGAGATTTGCAAACTCATATTCCTTCAAAAACACATACACAAAAGTATATGAATCTCACCTGATCACCACAGAAAATTCGATCGATCATATCTGTATCAATAAGTAATTCAGAAAGACAATGGAAGACGTGAGGACAAAGTGAGATACTGACACAGCTTCGGATCACCTCCTAGTAGTTGCCACGACCAAACTGAAGCTAAAGAAGCACTGAAAAATGAAGAAACAACACTACAAAGGTTTCATACAGCCTTCCCTAGAGATACTGTCAAACTTAGCGAACGCAAGATAGCTCTGTATAAAAGGTCCTAAGCATGTTAAGATCTACTCGAAGGGAAGGGAACTACTTTGGAGGATAACTCGAACGAAACCAAAGAAGCACTAACTTCAACATATCAAGAAGAACTGTCATAAAGAATGAATTTCTATCGATACCCTAGACAGGACAGGTGGAAAACAACAATTATTAACAGTCGAAAAAGAGAAGAGAGCGTCAAGGCCTAGATCGAATACACAGAAGCAAACAAGAGTGAAAAGTGGCATTAGAGCCGACAAATAGAAATTGGTGGAAGACCTAGCAATGACAGCGGAAAAGGTTTCTGAGAAGGAAATATGAGATAACTAGCAAGGAAATATTGTAAATCAGAGACAAAGAGGGCAAATTAAGAATTGCGGGACAGATGGGCAAAACAATTTGAGTAACTCTTGAATAGACAACCCTACTGAACCCACCAAATTTCTAAGCAACACACACAGACCTTCCTATAAATGTTACTCCTCCAACAATCGAGGTAATCAGCAGACAAATCAAGAGTGCCATGTAGAAAGAACAGACAACATACCAGCTGAAGCACTGGAGTTGGACATAACACTGACTGCGAACACGCTCAACGTTCTATTCAGGAAGGAGGAATAAGTGCCGACAGACTAGAATGTAGGATATTTCGTCAAGAAATGATATCTGAGCAAGTGTGAGAACTGCAGAGGCATTACACTGCCATCGATACCAGGAGACGTAATCAACAGAGTGCTTCTGAACCGGTAAAAGATTCAATAGCCACCCAACATCGAGATCAACAGGTTGGATGCCGTAAGGATCGGTGTTACACACACCAAATCACACCACAGGTCATTTTTGAACAATCAATTTATTGAAAACCGTTATTATGTATTAACTATGAGAAGGCGTTTAATGGTATGGACAAGAGAAAGACGTTACGCAATCGTATTCAACACTATGGCGTAGCTGGCAAGACCGTCAATATCATACGATATACTACACTGCAAATTTATGTATGGAGAACAGCCTACAGATGCAGTCCTAGTGAACACTGGTGTCAGACAAGACTGTTTGCCCTCTCTCTTTCATTCTTCAGATGGTCGAATGGATTATAAAGACTTCCACATTTGAATGGAAGCACGGAGTACATTGTACAGATTGGATGCAACGAGACGATTTGAACTTCACAGATGACCCCGCTTTTCCATCCCATACACAGCAAAAAATGCAGATAAAGACAAATAATATAGCAGCTCGTGACCGTAGCTTCTACCTTGACGCGGTGGTCAGGCTTGCCTATCGTGATCACTCAATCGAGCTATTTTGGCAGCAACATATGTTCCTGTAAGCTCTACCATACCAGGCAGGTCGATTGAAGAACGGTGAGGCTAAAGGCAGCAACTCAGGATCTGCGGGCGAAGTCGTACTACTGACTGTAGGAAAGTGTGACAGCAGTAAGGTGTTTCCCTCAGACAACCAGCATCTGCAGGGATGCTGCCTTCTCACAAGGAAGGAAGAGGTTACAAAAGGTTGATCCTAAAAATGTCACACCTCACCTTACCTCACGGATTTCCGTCTCCGGCGGTAAGGCCCTTTGAAGAACGGAGTTAACACATTAAAAACCTCTCACGAATAGGCCGTGCGCGACCGGCCTCAAGCAGTTGTCCCAACATTAATCCAACTTCCCTTTTAGGTTCCTCAAGAAATACCCTTCCACGGTGTGGGCAACCGGGAAGTAACATCAGCCCTCATACCCGTAATAGCACACGAGATCAAGTTGGTCACACTCAAATCCTTCCTACACCTTCTAATACCTCTCTTATCTCCACGACTAACCCTTCTCGCCTCTCTTTATCACCTCACACCACTAAGGCAAACGATTTAAGTACGCGGAACATTACTCCTGGTCTACTGAAAACACGCTTTAAACTACACGTAGGAGCTTTTAACGTCTGAACACTGTGCCAAATAGGACAACAAGCTTCCTTAGCTAGAACTTTAGAATCTCGCGCCATCGATGTGTTCTGCGTCTCCGAAACGCGCATACAGGATCCGAGTAGCGTCATTCATTTGACATCACCATGTCAAAGTGACGAACCAACTCGATTCACACTTCGTGTATCTGGAAACCCTGATGCTGCTTCACGTGACCTCGCCGGCGTAGGTATAGTATTGAGTCCTAGAGCAGAACTAGCTCTCTTAGACTGGGTCCCAGTAGACAGTCGTTTGTGCGCTGTCCGACTGAACGGAACAATAATGACTCGGAAAGATAGGGACACTCGTCGTTGCCTCTTCGTCGTCTCTGCCTATTCTCCCACTGACTGCAGCTCAGTTGATGTAAAAGATGAAATTTACAGAAAGCTTTCCGACCTTCTCAGAAAAGCTAGGCGCTCTGATGTAGTAATAGTGGCCGGTGACTTTAATGCTCAAGTAGGTAAACTAAACGAAAGGAAAAGACACCTAGGTGGATCTTATGGTGTCGTGGCTCGAAGAACAGATAATGGCGACCGTCTGTTGCAGCTATGCTCGGATAACCGCCTGTTTCTTGTAAATACTAACTTTAAGCATAAGGAAAAACATGTTTTGACACGGCAACCCCCCAATTCATGCCAACGTTGGACCCATATAGATCACATCGCTATCAGCCACTGATGGAGGGGCTCGACAGAAGACTGTCGCTCATTCTGGAGCACATGCTTAGATTCATATCATGCTCTATAGTACGAGCGCGTATCTGTTTGCGTCTTACTGGACGTAGTGAAGACGCTGCAAGGAAACTTCTTAGGGTTCTACTTAATGATAGTCAAGCTAAGAGTATATTTCGGGAACAACTAGGAAAACAGTTAGGAAGCCATGTAAGTGATGCTCATCCTATGGCAGCTTGGAATGATATCCGCAAAGCTGTGGAAACAGCAGTGATATTTGCTAGTGAGGTAAACCATAAGGTTATGGAGCAACACTGGATCTCAGCAGCCTCTGTCGCACTGATAGATGCTCGAAAACTCATTCCATTTGGATCTGAACATAACGAAGAGCGGAGTCAACTTAAGCGCAAGCTGACAAAAAGCCAACGCAATGATCGTGAACAGTGTTGGGTAGCGAAATCAAGAGAGATGGAAAAGGCAGCGGTAATAGGTAACAGCAGACGACTGTTCAGACTTGTTAAAAAAACCGGTATTAGGAACCCAACTGTTAGTGAAGCAATCTCAGAGAAAGATGGACATATTATTCATTCTCAATCCAGGAGATTGGATCGATGGGCAGAACACTTTAGGGATCAGTACAACTTGCGTTCGGCCACACTTCGGTTTCCCACGATCTCTAATCAACCTGAATGTTAATATAAGTCCTCCGACTCTACGAAGTTGAAAAAGCCATGGGAAATCTGAAGCGAGAGAGAGCAGCAGGCCCTGACAGGTTTACTCCTGAGACTTTTAAGGATGGTGGTTCAGTATTAGCAGTGAGGTTGACTGAGGTCTTAGGTAGAGTTTGGGAACTGGACGTAATCCCATCTGACTGGTCTCAATCACTGGTTGTGCCAGTCTATAAGATAGGACAAAATCCTCTTGTGACGATCACAGAGGAATCAGTTTGACTAATATAGTTTCTAAAATATTAGCTTCAATAATACTTCGACGCCTAACTAAAGCTCATGAAGAGCAGACTAGAGTAAACCAGGCTGGTTTTCGACCTGGACGTGGTTGTATAGACCACATATTCACACTACGTCAGGTCCTAGAACACAGACACACGTTCAGACTTACTTTTAGAGATAACACTTTCCTCATCTAAATTTCCAAGGGTTGAACTTCTACCAGGAGATTCACTTGTTGACTTGGAATATGCAGATGACATAGTTTTATTTGGTGAAGACGCTGACAAAATGCAGAGTCTTCTGACCACTCTAAGCAACAATGCAAGCATGTTCGGGATCTGATTCTCCCCCTTAAAATGCAAAATGTTGCTTCAGGTCTGGTGTGTGACAAATGCAGAAGGCTCAACTAGCTTTTGACATTTATGGCGTAGGCGAGATATCCTTCTACCAACCAAAGGACGGGTTTACTGCGCAGCAGTTCGTTCCGTCCTACTTTATGGCAGTGAAACATGGCCGGTAAGAGTAGAGGATATTCGTGGATTACTAGTATTCGGTCATAGATGTCTCCGAAATATTGCTCGTATATCCTGGGACCACTGAGTAAGTAACACAGTTGTTAGGAAACGGGTACTAGGTAAGGATGGCAAATCAATTGATGACGTAGTAAAACTTCATCAGTTGAGATGGCTGGGACACGTGTTATGTATGCCCAACGACCGACTGCCTCGACGTGCGATGTTCAGTGATATAGGAGTAGGTTGGAAGAAAGTTAGAGGCGGCCAGACCAAAACATGGCACAAGTCCATGAAGTCACTGACAAGTGGTCTGAGTCATGTTGGTAGGTGTAGACTACCTGGTTGGGATCCGCGAGATGATAGTACTCGATGCTTGAATGACATGGCTGAAAATCGTTTCCAGCGGTGCATGTGTATCCACTCTGCGGTATCCCAAATTATAATCTTCTGGATTCTTCATGGCTTTTTTTTCTCTTTCCAAATTTATAACACTGTATTATACTCCTTGAATAACATCTTCAAACCCTAATGTTTCCGATTACTGCTTAAACTTTTACTACCTCTACCACTACGGGATTGGAATCGACAATTGTATCTGTGTGCTAATGTGATATGGGGACTCGAACTAATGTACGTACGTACGAAGTTGTATGTTCTTTCTGACGGACTGAGTATAGCATCAACTATTGCATCAATAGGCCTCAACATCCTCAAGAAAAAATCAAGATCCTTAAATACAACACAGAGAGCACCAACCCATTCACATTTGTTGGAGAAGTTCTGGAAGATGTAAAATCTTTCATGTACCTGGACAGCATCGTCGATAAACAAGCAGGATCTGATGTAGATACATAGGCCAGGATTGGACAGCATTTCCACAATTGAAGATAATATAGACCTTAAAATATCTGTCAACCAACAATAAAGTCACATTCTTCATTACGAACGTAAGACAGTTCTACTGTGCGGAGCTGGAGATAAGAGAACTACTACAAGAATCATCAAAGTAAACAATTGTCTACGCAAGATTCTCAATATCTGTTGGCCAAATACAATCGATAACAGCCAATCGTGGGAGAGAACAAACCAACTTACAGCTGAAGAGGAAATTTGTAAAAGACGTTGAAAGTGACTAGGCCATATATTACGAAAATCACCAAATTGAATGATGAGGCTAACTCTAACTCAGAATCCTGAAGAGAAAAGGGAAAGAAGGAAACCAAGAAGCACACTGAGTCGGAGATAATTAAAATACACTTCAATCCATGCTTCAACTTGGGATTCAGAAGGCAAATCAAAAAGAGGTAGACAAAATGATATACTGCACTGTGGATTTTGGGGAAGAAATCAAAAGAATGGATAGCATTTAGAAACAACTAGACTGGATTGCCGATATTAGTTTCGTTGGAAGATCTTGGTTGGCGGCCTGTCCTCCACTAGAGGTAACAGGTGTAAGTAATATTTAGCTACTCACTATAGTAGATGGATGTGGTGTGTTTTTGCTAGATGATGTTACGTTTCAGAATTTCTTAAGCGTTTTTGTATAGTTTCTTTTCTTGTGTGTTTATATCTCATCTTTCTATATATTTACGTAATTGGATGTTCTGTACTATTTTTTTGCTGATATTCTGCAGCTCGAGCATTACGTTGTTCAAAATAAACTTAAAATTGTAATTCGTACGTCTGTTGAAGTAATGCCCGGGACTGAGTTAACCATACCTTTTGATTTGGACTACCGGGCGTGTCGTTATCCTTTGGATTGTGCTTGTGCAAGATCTCGTTGTCCCGTTCTAAAGTGGCGACGAAAATTGCTTCGAAATAAAGTGGTGCCCAACTTGGATTATAGTAAATATATTGAATCACAGCTCAGAGTGTGAGTTTTGTTTCCAAATGTTAGTAAAATTAAGCTGTAAATTTTGATGATATATTAATTGTTCATTTGTCGATTTTTTCGATGCACTTTTGTATCAGAGTATTTACATTAGTTGTTAGTAAATTAAAAGGAATACTAACATTACTCACCCACTATTTGAACAAGGTACTGTGTTGGTAACATATTATGTGCATTGATTGAGGCTTTTCTGGAAATAACCTGAAATTAAAAATAATTACGTTGCAGATTTTAAAAAAATATACCACATGTAAAGGAAATTGGAGCGTTTCTACATCAATATTTGACCGTCATTTTTATTGCTTTTGATTTCCAACGAAATTTTTTTAAATTGTGTAATGCATAAGTAATATTACATTTACTGCTCTTAGCTTTTATGACTCACTTTTTTTAATTTATGTTGTAGACTTTCCAAACCTTTATCTCAAGAAAGTCCGACAAATAGATCTTTTGATTCCAGTAGTTTAACAGGATCTCCATTAGTAAAAACATCTGCCACTTCAAACAGTACTATGAATCAACCTATCGGTTTATCACCTAATGTTAATTACAATCTGTATAATATAAAATCATCACCTGGTACTTTTCGTAGAGAGGTTGAGCTACCTATCCATGACTGTGATTCTTTGATTGCTGAAAAAACAAATCACAGTGATTTAGATTTAAATACAACTGAACATTTAGACAGTTCTGTTTCCTTGAACTGTGCATCGTCTTCTACGATTATAAATCAAAAGGAAAGTAGTGAACAGGTTAATTCAGATCTTATCAATTCCGAGAATAAGAATGTTACCGAATCTGATTTCGTAACTGACGAAAATCAAATTCCTAAAAGTTCTCAACCTGTAGATATATCAGCTGAAAGCAATTCAAGAACATCTTCAACGAAGATTAAAGATTCTTCATTTCGGAAAAATCAAAATACGAGTGAAGAAAAACTGGTACGTTTTTGTTATTGCATTGTCCTGTTAACATTAATTCAAAATGTATTATCACTTGATTCATTCATTGTGAAGTACCAGCTTACAAACGAATAGTAAAACTATGGTTGAATATTACCATGTCGATTTCTTCGTTATAGCTTTCTAAAGCTTTGAGACATTCTGTTTGTGTTATTCACCTTAATCCTCTAGTTTTGAAGTTTCAAATTGCCAGAAAGTAGTAAATATTAGAGGTTTTCTTCGTCTGTATGGTTATACTAGAAACACAATCCACGGCACATCAGTAGCATGACAGCTCAATTTTTAACAGTAATGTATGCTCCAAAACTGTATTCCATGAAAGGCGTAGTGTACATCCATTGCCGAAATGTTTGTTTTGCGTGATGCTTCAACATTGCGAAACTTAAATTTGTTGTAGACGTGACCTATTCAAATGTAATTTTTTGGCATACTCATGAACAAGCATTTTACATGGGTTTATGCAAAGACTTGACCTTTATCATGTAAATGTCTTGTGTAATTATTACAATTTTCATTTATTCTTGAATATTTCATAATGCTTACTAGTGAAATAGACACTGTCTAGAAATAATATTTCTTTCGTTAGTCTTCTGTCTTCTCATTGCGACTTGGAATGGTTCTGGCATTCTAGTGCACACGTTATACGCGGTACATCAAGAACAACCTTCTAGATATAACAATTGGCGACGGGGTTATCGTACCAAGATGTCATCTACTTCTGAACAATTTGAAGCCTTGCTGGAACATCAAGAAAAACGTTTCGGACATTTCCAGATTCTCATGATAGAGATGCTAACCCAGAAAATGAACCTGGATCAAAAAAGGTTACAGATGATCCCTTCAAATCTCATGATGACAACATCATTAATTCTGTCCATGAATTTAATTTCGATGATTCGGCTGGCATTACTTTTGAAACCTGGTTCAAGAAATACGAAGACTTGTTCAAGGTCGACCTCAAAAAACTTGATGCTGCCGCTAAGGTCAGAATACTCTTACGAAAATTTGGGACGGCTGAACATGAACGTTACATTAACTTTATCCTTCCAAAGAATCCAATAGATTTTTGTTTTGATGCAACGATTGAAATTTTGTCGCAAATCTTTGCCGAACAGCCATCCTTGTTTAATATTCCTTATTAATGTCTCAAGATGACAAAAGCAGGTGATGATGTCTGGGTGAAGCATGCGAGGTTAGTAAACTGTGAATGTGAGCACTTCAAACTATCAGCAATGACAGAAGACCAGTTTAATTGTCTCGTGTTTGTGTGCAGCCTCCAGTCTCCCGAAGATGCTGATATTAGAACCAGAATTTGGAGTAAAATTGAACAATGTCCGAATATAACACTACAAGAAGTAACCACAGAGTGCCAGAGATTGGTAAACCTAAAGCATGACACTTCCATGGTCGAAAATAATGGCCAGTTGCCATATGTTCATGCTGTAAGCGGAAAGAAAGATTTCTGCGCAAGAAGATTATCGCACACAAACAATCAGCCCTCATCTCCATGTTGGTCATATGGAGGTTGGCATTATAAGAGGTTCTGCCCATATAAAGAACATTGTTATATCAAATGTCATCGGAAGGGCCATAAAGAAAACAGCTTCAGGAAAAGAACCCATAAACGACATTCTTCGAAACTCCAAGAAATACAGGTATAGTGCTCTAACTAACAAAATATTGGTATCACATGATCGAGCACAAATTTACCGCCAACGAAAGTTTGTAAACTTAAATATAAACAAAAAGCGCGCCAGCCTGCAGCTCGACACTGGCTCCGACATCACACTTATTAGTCGAAGGATCTTGAATCTTATCGGAAAACCACAGGTGCTCCCAACAACCCAGTTAACTCATAGTGCATCTGGAGGGAGACTAAATATTGTTGGAGACGTTATTTGTACAGTTTCAAAAGGAAACGCGAAGAAGAATGCAACGTTATATCTCACAGAGAACCCAGGACTAGATTTGCTGGGTCTAGACCTAATAGAAACATTACAATTAGCAAATCACTCCATTAACCACGTATGCAGCGCCGTGAGAACCAATAAACCAGTGGAAAAGGATCTGAAGGGTGTTGTGTTGGAAAGACATTGTCAAGTGTTTATGGAAGAGTTGGGGGAGTGCAAGAAGGTAAAAGCACTACTGATTCTTAAACCGGGAGTTACCCTCGTCTTCAGACCAAAACGTCCGGTACCCCTATGCAGTGCTGCCTATTGTTGAACAAGAATTAGAACGTCAGCAAAGAAGTGGAATAATAGAACCAGTAAACTTTTCTGATTGGGCAGCACCAACAGTGATTATCAAAAAGCCAAATGGAAGTATCCGGCTATGCGCAGATTATTCGAACGGATTAAACGCAACACTTGGAGTCCATCAGTACCCTTTGCCGGTACCAGAAGATTTATTTGCGAAACTGAATGGGTGTAAGTATTTTGCAAAATTAGGCCTATCAGAAGCTTATCTACAGATTCCAGTAGCGGAAGAGTGTAAGCATTATTTGACAATAAACACTCATAAAGGGTTGTTCCGATATAACAGACTTCCTTTTGGCGTAAAGACCGCCCCTTCAATCTTCCAAGTTATGGATACTATGTTACAAGATATTTCTGGTACCACGGCCTATCTCGATGACATACTGATCATGGGTGCAGACTATACTGACTTAGAGAATAAGGTGGACACATTTCTCAGACGCATAGCAGATTATGGGTGAAAAATGTGATTTTTACATTGAGCAAGTGCGCTGTTTGGAATTCATAATCGATAAATACGGAAGAAAACCTGGTCCTGAAAACGTCGAAGCTATCAAGTTCATGCCTCCACCGACGGATGTATCCTTTTTACGTTCTTTCTTAGGAATGGTTATTCATTATTGCGTTTTTCTTCCAGATCTGCATCGCCTTCGTGCTTCTCTTAATTACTTACTGAAAAAGGATACTAAGTGGTTCTGGTCAACCGAATGCCAGGAAGCATTCCTAAAACTAAAGCAGCTCCTATCATCAAACCTTCTTTTTACACAGTGTGATCCAGATCTTCCAATTATAGTCGCAGCAGATGTGTCAAACTACGGAATCGGAGCAGTAATTTCACATACATACTCTGACGGGTCAGACAAGGCAATCTCCCACGCTGCAAGATCGCTGACTATGACTGAAAGGAACTATAGTACAATTGAGAAAAAGCCCTCTCCATCATATTTGCTGTAAAAAAGTTCCACAAGATGCTGTTTGGCAGACAGTTCACCTTTCTAACAGACGATAAACCGCTACTGACAGTTTTTGGATCGAAAAACGTTACCCCTGTATGTACAACAAACCGTCTACAGCGATGGGCAACTACACTGCTGGACTATGATTTCATGGATAAAGTATCAACCGACAACGGATTTCGGACAGGCAGATGCCCTCTCAAGATGGATTGGTTCGCATGCAAAACAAGAAGATGAGGTGCTTGTAGCTGCCATAGAGGTTGAGGTTCACAAAGTATTGGCAGACGTAGTTTTCGGACTCCCGGTCACATTCGAAGCCATTAAAGAAGCTAGCAAGAAGGATAATGCATTGAAGATTGTTCGCCACTGCATACTCAACAAGTGGTCTTCATCTAGACTACATGGAGAACTTTTACAATATTTTCGTCGACGAGAGTCATTGACAGTTGTCGATTCGTGCATCATGTTTGTCCACCGTATCGTTATCCCCAGAAATCTTCGACACCAAGTCATTAATCAGTTCCACAGCGGGGCACCCGGGGATAAGTAAAATAAAATCACTAGCTCGCAGCTATGCATACTGGTCGTCAATGGACCATGATGTAGAACAAAAATGTCGCAGTTGTTGGTCCTGTCTAGAGGCTGCGAAGAATCCAACGGAAGCTGAACCACAACTATGACCAAAAACGGACGGATCTTGGCAAAGTATACACGCTGATTTCCCCGAACCAATACAAACCAGAAATTACTTAGTTGTTGTCGATGGTTTCACAAAATGGCCAGAAGTATATGACATGCCGAAAACGACATCAGAGAGTACAATAAAAAGATTGTCAGGATTGCTTGCTTGTTTCGGAGTTCCAAAGATCTTAGTGACCGACAACGAGACTCAGTTCATGTCAAACGCTTTTGCAGTGAAAATGGCATATCGCATCTACAATCTCCTCCGTACCATCCTCAGTCGAATGGTCAAGCAGAAAGATTCGTGGATACGGTAAAAAGAGCTCTGGTCAAAGGTCGAGGTGAGGGTATTCCAGAACAAGTGACCAGTAAGTTCTTAATGTCCTACAGAGTTATCTCTAGTCCGGCAGTACCAGAAGGAATGTCACCAGCCGAGTGTATGTTCGAAAGGAAAATCCGGACAGTCTTGAACAGTATGTTGCCATCCAGAAAGACAAATAAACCCACGAATGAGTATCGTACGGTCACTCGTAGCTTCCAGGTGGGTGAAAAGGTACTTGTCAAATCGTATCAAGGTAATAGGAAGTGGGAACCAGGTGTCATAGAATGTCGAATCGTAAATGTACTGTACCTAGTCCGGAAAGGTGTCGGAAAATGTATAAGACACATAGATCAAATGCAAAGAGATGTCAGTACAGTGGTCCCAGAAGCCTGACTCCCATTTCACTTGCTCGTGGATTCATCACAGAAAAGCCCTCAGTAGCGCAGACATAGAAGAGATAAACGGCGCAAGGGCAAAGCAGTACAACCCTCAAGAATGATGCACCGCAAGAGGAATGCGGCAACCAAGTTTCAGATGGATTCGGGAAAAAAAGTCTTACACGACAGACTTTAAAGGAAGGACCACGGATGAACTCGAGGAAGCTGTAGGAGGCTCGTTCTTACTAAAAACTATAAATACCTGACAATTTTGTACTATAATTGACACTGTGTGGGAATAATATTCCTTTCATTAGTTTTCTGTTTTCGCATTGCGACTTCGAAGAATTCTGGCGTTCTAGTGATCACGTTATACGCGGTTTATCAAGAACAACCTTCTAGATATAACAGAAATAGACTGATTGCGCCTAACAAACACTAAAAAAATCCCGGTACCATGATTATTTAATAGCAAATTACTCAATTGTAGCATGCGCACTTAAGTGTAGCGTGATTGGTCTTGTCATACTAAGTTGAAACATTGACGGCAATGAGAAGATTAAGTAACTGAACATCAGCATTTCAATTTCAACCGAAAATGTTTGAGTCTCAGTTGATTGTACTATGTCGTATATATATATATGATTTATTTTAACCATTTTCAATCATCAGTGGCTATTAAGCATTATATTTCCTTAATATTTTTTTTACCATTTTATATATTATGTTCACTCGGATGACGATTGTTACTGCATATTCCGTAGCACCAGCCACATCTTTCATATTTCTTGTATTTGATCGACATTGTTGTAGATTACTAGACATTTCAGTATAGTTGCCTTTCGTAAATTACTGATTCTTTATCTTCTGTACCTTTTAACAGCCTTTTGAACCTATCATTACTACAAGAAGACAGGCTGCAGCTTTGAAAAATATCTTAAGATAGTGGATGTTCGAAGCTTTCACCACTAGCAAGGTAATTTACTTTTCTAACTTGAAAACATTTCCACTTTTTTTAAAACATACTACTGTTCTGGTAGAGTTATTGGGTCATGATAATAATGACGTAAAACTTATTTCAGTTAGCCAGATAAATTTTTGTTTTGCTAATATTTTGATTTCTTTTCTTTGTATATTGTTATTCAACAATTTTTATGTCTTTTTTTTCTTTGTCCATATTTAGTTTAGTGTAAACTAACTTATGTTTTCTTTCTGTTTGCGTAATTGGATTATTTCCTTTCCTGTTCCCCGCTTTCAAATAACGATGATGATAATGATGTTATAGTGTAATTTTCCTCTCCACTTTGTACATGCTTTATTACCTTTTACATTGTTGATTTCGTCATGTTCTGTAAATGACGTGTCTGTATTCTATTACTTGGTTCTGTGTATACTCTGTCATTATTATTTGCCAGTAAAGTAATGAGAGAAATTCGCATAAAATGTAACATATCAAAAAGGAATATTTCCGAAGTAATCTAGAGCTCTAATTATTGCGATTGTATTATTTTCTTTTACTCAACAAAAATATATAACGCTGAAAATGCCTTCTACATATATTTGCGTGTTTTGTATTACGTGTTTTCAATGCTGAGTGCTTTCATGCATAGTTAGATGAGATTTGATCTAATTCACTAGATGGGACATCATTACAACCAAATTGCCAAAATCTGTCGTCTGTTATATTGTGGTAAGTTACACATTAATAACAGATGTCTTAAAGTAGCGGTTAAATATTCATAATTAATCATATCTTTTTAGAATTCTGTTTCAGCCAGTAGAAAAGCACAAACTTATTTGTCATTGTTCCTCGATTAATGAGTAAAATATGACATTATTTTGGCACATCTTCAACCAAATAATCAGCGATATCCATTAATTGTAAAAATGTTTTATAACTTGATTGTACAAAAATGCAGTTCAATCGATAAGTAATCAATTTGGTGAGACTATAATTTATGGGCGACCTCCCAGCGAGTCTAAAATGACCTTGAAAATGTCCACTTACTAGTGCTAAATGAGTGCTATGAAGCAGTTTGAAGAATAAGGATTATGATTTAAAATTGATTATGGGAGTTAGGAATTAGATCTATGGTTTTCATCACGATCTGACATCAGTTAAATTGCCAATGCGTTATTTAAACATATGTGAATAAATTTCGCGCCAAAATCCAAGACATGTTATCTTAAAGCTGATTGATTCGTCCATAAATTATAGTCTCGCCATCAATTTCTCTTGTAAATCACTTTTTAACGAATAATCCAACTAGTTTATATGTGATTCAACTGCAACTGTACAAATTGTTCTCACGTACTGTTCTTAACTCCGGATCACCACACAATATCTACTTTTTAGGAATATCTCAATATTATTCTTAGGAGAGAAATCAGTGATACTGGTGATTTGTGTGCGAATCCTCTCTTCATGTTTCACTGCACTCTATTTGATGGCATTTTTACGACATTTTGCATAGATTAAACATATTGTTTTGTTTATTGGATCATATTTTACACTGTTATGGTTGATATCTTCGGTCAATTTTGGAAATAAATTTTCTTCAGTTTTTAAGAACTGTGTTTACACATCTTACCATTCAGACTGAAAATTAACAAATGGCGTACAGTCGTAATTTTTCGGTCTAACGTTTCACTTTATCGGTTGATTATTAAGGAAATACAAAATAGTGTGGCTACTTACGCGTTCTGCTGGTGGTTAGTAGATTGGGTGTGTTAAAAATCTCTTTGCATCAATCGTAGGATGCTAGGTCGAGATGTGGATGCAGTGCAAGATCGCCTAAATGTTGTTTCGCCTTCACTGTAACACTGATTTTCTGAATTTACACAGCTCTAGGTGGGTTATAACACGTTCATAATAACATTTGTGGTGGTCGGTATTCAATACAATCTTTAAACTTCGTATACAGTTCGTCCTGATAACCGTCACTAAATAATGCTTCAACGGTTTATTAATGAGAAGGCGAATACGAAGTGTTGGTGACGTTTAATATTGCACCACGCACAGATAACCAAAATTACAGATGTGCTAAACAAACATTAAAGAGTAGTGCCGAAGAGCAAGCGGGCTAGTGAGTGAGCATGCGGATTGAATGGGCGAGTGAATGAACAGGATTTATATATATATATATATATATATATATATATATATGGTGAAATGAATGGATCATCGAGTCAATTAAGCGACTAACATTAAAGCTAACAGAATAAATATATGCGTAGGCAGTAAGCAATGCTCAAGCACGCATATTCATACATGTGCAACAATAATAAATGTGCAATGGTATGGATATGTTGTTATTGTACGAATGACTATCTGCTAAACAAGTTAACAAATGGGCTTAACCAAATTAAATGTGAAAAAACTCAGTTGCATGTGCGCTGCTATTCTTTAAAAACTTATGTATGTCTGCATCCGATGATTTTGGTGAGAATGAATGCTTTCGGCATTTTCGTTCTTATGTATTCATATGCGTCTACTATACAACTCATTATTTTTCTGACCGAAAGTAGGCTGGGAAAAATCGATATTCATATGATTTTAATCACAGCACGAACTAAGTAAACAGAGGCAATCAGCAGTTGAGTATTATCGCTCAATTCAGATACTTTTAATTTAATTTCCATTGATTTTAGTGGCTAACAGATTTAAATCTGAGAGCAAATCTAATTTATTCCTGTTTTCCTAAAACCATCAGGAGGGACGTATGTACAGATAATCATTTGTGCTACTATTTGATGCATGTTTAATATGAGTGATAATAGTACAGTGTACAACTAACTCAAAACACCGAATATTTAGGTTGTTGTCTATTGAATATACGTGATAATTCTCAGGGATTTCATCAAAACCTCGTGTGGATTCACTCGCGAAAGTTTTATACGATTCGTTCTAATGAGGACATACAATTGTAGAAAAATAATACCGATCAGTGTAATTCTTTAATTTTGCATTTATTGGCACTCATCAAATGATGACAATATAACATAACAGTAACCGTCTTATATTTTTACTACCTACGTATAGTAACTTAGACGATTGATCCACTGTGTATAAGCATAATGTAAGTCTGATTTAATGTATTTCTGCACTTTAACCTTTAGCCTCTCAATGGTTGTAAACTTAAACAGTCAATAACTTGATCCATGTATCGATTAACACTTGGAACACATAAGTGCTTGCACTTTCTACTCATTCACTTTCCGGTGTGCTCTCCTTTCCTACGCTTGTGGGTTTTACTAGTTATCCCAACTATTAGTTTTATGTTTTCTCAATATTCGAGTAAAGTTGTAGTGATATCAGGAGAATTAGCCTACTAAAATACACAGTTAACGGTTATCATATTTTGAAGCCGTACAAAGGAATTATCTAACACAACATAATCGAAAATGATGTATATGAGTGGTTGGAATGGTGAAGATTATCAATGAAAGTTTATATTTTCAAGCCTATTTACAAATAGATCTAGATAAGTATCGAAGCCTCAGACTGGTTCTTTTGGACTGAAGGCATGTGTTCTAGAATAACCTTGAGCTTCCCCTCTTTTTGTTGTAATTTGATGAATACCATTTGGAAGGCAGAGTTACGTTGTGATCCTGCAATCTTATACTATCCTCAATCATCTTTGATCTGTTAGCTGTTTTACCTTCGTTTCTGTACTTAACATGATCACTGTTGAACCATATTAATAGACGCACGTAATTACTAGAGTAAGAACCAGTTTCAGTCTCCCAAGTACGAATTCGTTGCGGTGCGTAATAATTGTGAGAAATCAGAATGATTTACTCGAGTTTTAATGGTCGAGTTAGTGAGGATCAATGAAAATTACTTTTCGAGGTGGACAGTTTGCCAATCAATTATTTAAAGATCGAAGAAAGCATGTGGAAAATGAGCGAAAATCCAGTCCACTATCATAGTGATAAATTAGTAATGTTGTGATGTTCCAGAAAACTCGCAAAAGACAACAAAGGCTCAGAAAACATTAAGAAGCATTTCATTTAATCAGCATTCACTTGAAGTTTAGCCAGAAACGTCAAGAAAGTGAGAACTCACATGTAGAGTTTCTGATTGGCTGATTGCTATACTGCTACTATGTTTAGTGGCATTCCAGAATCTTCGGGAAACCCAAGGACATCTAAAATACTATAAAAACCCTGTATTTCCTGTACTAAAACGAACCTTTAGAGTAAAATGTTCCTCGCATATTTTGCGCCTTTTCTCTCGTGTTCAGGTCGCTGTGTAGTTCTAGCTTGGGGTTACGAGAATAGCTTAGGAACCGAATATTGCGTTCAATCAGCAAGCCTTATCAAGTAACTATCCTAAATGGTTCAGTTTTTAATAGCTATGTAGTCAAGTTGGGTTTTTGGTAAACCGAGTTAAAATAGTGATGATGCTATCTTTATAAATTAAATGACTAGCTATTACACAGTCATGGATTTGTAAGTTTTTGAATCGTTGGTTTTTCAGAACATGCTAAACAGTCAAAAATATCAGCACTTACATATTAGATTTCTTGCTATATGTTGTAAGAGATGACTATGTGGTAAAGGCATTCGAAGCCATTATCCTATGGTTATATATATATATATATATATATAGAGAGAGAGAGAGAGAGAGAGAGAGGAAGTAGACATATTTCAAGTGTATTTCACGAGAATGTCATTTGTTATCAACAATGTCTGTTTTCTGAACTTCAACTGGACGTTTATAAACAAATATTTAAGTTTGTTTTGGATAACCAAACATGATATCATTAAACATCATGTTTGCTATTCTGTCATAAATTAATCCGTGACTGTTTAAAATACCATATATTATTCATATATGTCGAGGAATAAAAGAATTCCTGTGTGGGAATTCTAATGCGTTTTTTAATTTTATATACCTAATGAAAACATATATTTGATACAGATTTAAAACAATTAAGTTGGTAAAAAAGAAGCCCAAAAATCAATAAGCTGTATCCAGCACTTTGTATGTTTAAGAACATTGTTTTCTTTATACGTCAATTTATTCCAGATAGAGGACATGACCCCTTAATACGACTGAAATTTTTAAAATGTATTTATATAAACATGAATGATAAATTATGAAAAAAATCAATACAAATAAGTTTCATATGGTCATCTGTAATAAATCAAATTAATACTGAAGAGAACCCGTATGTAAGTTATTTGTATATACCGTATGCTGTCTTTGTGGTGTGTCTGTTAACTCTATGTAACGAACTGCAGT